TAGGAACAGGTGACGCGGGGAAGGGAGGGGTGTGAGGTAAGGTTGCCCGGGGGTGGGAGGGGTAGGCCTGGTAATTAATGATGTCTCATGTTGATGCTATAATGATGCTACATTTTTAGTTACATATATAGACATACACTAGTTTCTAAGTAAGATTTTTACATAAAAGTATAGTCTACGATATCTGTTTATGAACGTAGAGTTTATTCTCAGTAAAGAAGGGAGCGGACTTTGCCCTGACTTTTTATAAGATTTTCATAACAAACTTCTAAGATCTCGGAAATCATTTTTCTCATAAGAAACCTTTAACTCCAAATCGGAAATTTATAAGGAAATCCGAAGCGCTAAATGGGATATGTGACCTGGAACCCCCTGCAGTCCAGCGTCCTCTTCTCTAATTTTCCTGGAACCCCCGACAGCGCAGCGACAAATGGCCAAAAAAATTTGTTATTTGTCGCTACGCTGTCATCCGCTAGTACATTTCCATGACATCACAAGCCTAGCATATTTGTTTAAGGCATTGTTGTTGTAGTCGGCATTTGTGCTGGCCTGCTATTGCCCTAATTGTATATCACACAGTTCGGCAAAATGAAACGGCGGCACAGACATTTTGCTACACCAAGCTTCTTACAGCTCAGAGAGGCCACTTTAGCCGGACGTGCACTGAACAAATAACGGCCAAATTGGTGTCGAACACTTCTTAGACCTCCTCCCCCTTTAAAAAGTTATTCACTAATTTGCCCTCAAGTAACTGCCAATCGTCCTCAGAATCATAACCACGTAATTTACTTTATTCTAAGTCGTGATAGTGAGCAACTACAGTACCTTACCTTAAGGTTACCTTGAGGTGCTTCCGGGGCTGAGCGTCCCCGCGGCCCGGTCGTCGACCAGGCCTCCTGGTTGCTGGACTGATCAACCAGGCTATTGAACGCGGCTGCTCGCAGCCTGACGTATGAATCACAGCCTGGTTGATCAGGTATCCTTTGAAGGTGCTTATTCAGTTCTCTCTTGAACACTGTGAGGGGTCGGCCATTCATGCCCCTTATGTGTAGTGGAAGCATGTTGAACAGTCTCGGGCTTCTGATGTTGATAGAGTTCTCTCTCAGAGTACCTGTTGCACTCTGTTTTTCAATGGGGGTATTCTGCACATCCTGCCATGCCTTCTGGTCTTATGTTATGTTATATCTGTGTGCATGTTTGGGACCAGCCCTTCTAATATTTTCCACGTGTAAGCTATTATGTATCTTTCCCACCTGCGTTCATGGGAATATACATTTAGGCTCTTTAATCGGTCCCAGAAGTTTAGATGTTTTACTGAGTGGATTCTAGCAGTAAAGGATCTGTGCACGCTCTCCAGGTCAGCAATTTCTCTAGCTTTGAAAGGGGTTGTCATTGTGCAGCAGTACTCCAATCTAGAGAGCACAAGCGTTTTGAAAAGTATCATCATAGGTATGGCATCTCTAGTGTGAAAGGTTTTTGTTATCCAACCTGTCCTTTTTCTTGCAGTTGTGACGGCTACTTTATTGTGTTCTTTAGAGGTAAGGTCTTTCGACATGAGTACACCCAAATCCTTTACATTGCCTTTTCGTTCTATGTTATGATTTGATTGGGGTTTGTACGTGGTTTCCGTTTTTATATTTTCATTTTGTTTCCGTAGCGCATGAGCTAGAACTAATCTTCGTTAAACACCATATTATTTTCTGTAACCCGTAGAAAGACCTGATTTACATCTGATTGGAGGTTTTCCGTGTCCTCTATGTTGCCTACTCTCATGAAAATCCTAGTGTCATCTGCAAAGGATAATACAGTGCTATAGATTGTGTCCTTGTCTATGTACGATATGAGGATGAGAAAAAGTACTGGAGCAAGCACAGTACCCTGGGGGAATGAGCTCTTCACGGTTAATGGACCGAATTTTATTTTGTTGACTATTACACATTTAGTTCTGTTAGTCAGCAAATTATAGATCCATCTGCCTATTTTTCCGGTAATTCCTTTTGAATGCATTTTATGTGCAATAACACCATGGTCACATTTGTTAAAGGCTTTTGCGAAATCTGTGTAAATTACATCAGCGTTTTGTTTGTCTTACATGGCATCTTATGTTATGTCATAATGGTCCAGCAACTGTGACAGACAAGAGCACCCTGTTCTGAAACCATGTTGTCCGGGGTTAAGGAGATGCTGTGATTCCATGTATTTTGAGATCTTACTTCTTAGCACTCTTTCAAAGATTTTTATGATGTGCGATGTTACTGCTATAGGTCTGTAATTTTTTGTCTCAGCCTTATTTCCTTATTGGTGATAGTGGTGCTATATCTGCTGATTTTAGTATATCAGGGATAACGCAAGTATCTAGGCTTTGTCTCCAAAGAATGTGAAGGGCCTGCAATAATTTTTTTTTTTTACCGTTCTTGATGAATATGGAGTTCCAAGAATCAGGACCTGGTGCAGAGTGCATAGGCATACTGTTTATGGCTTCTTCAAAATCCACTGGGGATAAGGTGACGTCTGATATATGATTTGGTGTTGGTATCATATCCATGAAAAATTAATTTGGGTTATCAATCTTTAATGTGTTTAGTGTCTCGCTGAAAGCAAAGTTGTACAGTAGAGAAAGATATACCCATATGACTACTATCAGGAGTAACAGTGTAGTAAGGCACGATTGGGTAATATCTGATCCATCCACTGAACATGAAGGGACAAAAGTTGTCAGTGATAAACGAACTCAACAAATCGTTACCACTTGATTTCTATAAGATTTGGGGTGAATCTGGACTTGCTGTCCGACTTTGTGTGTTGTAAACTTATCCATGTGTGCCACGCCGGAGTCCACGTGAGTGTACTCACCTAGTTGTGTTTGCGGGGGTTGAGCTTTGGCTCTTTGAACCTGCCTCTCAACTGTCAATCTGTGTGTGTCAAATGAGCTGCTGCATCAAAGTCCAGCTTTTTGCTCTGAGACTGTGTTATTCAGACTGAGACTGAGACTGTTATTCCAGACTGTGAGACTGAGACTCATTCACTGTGTTACCACTACGTGAATGCCCTACCAACCGTATCTCTTATGTGCACCATGTGCTATTCTTGTAGTTGCCACCTGCTCCGTCAAGTGGACCTCACACGTTCTACCATGTGTGGCAGTGCTTGAAGTTGGTGTGAGAAGAGAGCACCACCACCTACACCTGAGGTTGGTGTGAGAGCACCACCACCTACACCTGAGGTTGGTGTGAGAGCACCACCACCTACACCTTAGGTTGGTGTGAGAAAAGAGCCCCACCACCTACACTTGAGGTTGATGTGAGAAGAGAGCCCCACCACCTACACTTGAGGTTGGTGTGAGAAGAGAGCACCACCACCTACACTTGAGGTTGTTGTGAGAAGAGAGCCCCACCACCTACACTTGAGGTTGTTGTGAGAAGAGAGCACCACCACCTACACTTGAGGTTGGTGTGAGAAGAGAGCCCCACCACCTACACTTGAGGTTGGTGTGAGAAGAGAGCACCACCACCTACACTTGAGGTTGGTGTGAGAAGAGAGCACCACCACCTACACTTGAGGTTGGTGTGAGAAGAGAGCACCACCACCTACACCTGAGGTTGGTGTGAGAAAAGAGCACCACCACCTACACCTGAGGTTGGTGTGAGAGAAGAGCACCACCACCTACACCTGAGGTTGGTGTGAGAAGAGAGCACCACCACCTACACTTGAGGTTGGTGTGAGAAGAGAGCACCACCACCTACACTTGAGGTTGGTGTGAGAAAAGAGCACCACCACCTACACCTGAGGTTGGTGTGAGAGAAGAGCACCACCACCTACACTTGAGGTTGGTGTGAGAGAAGAGCACCACCACCTACACTTGAGGTTGGTGTGAGAAGAGAGCACCACCACCTACACTTGAGGTTGGTGTGAGAAGAGAGCACCACCACCTACACCTGAGGTTGGTGTGAGAGAAGAGCACCACCACCTACACTTGAGGTTGGTGTGAGAGAAGAGCACCACCACCTACACCTGAGGTTGGTGTGAGAGAAGAGCACCACCACCTACACTTGAGGTTGGTGTGAGAAGAGAGCACCACCACCTACACTTGAGGTTGGTGTGAGAGAAGAGCACCACCACCTACACTTGAGGTTGGTGTGAGAGAAGAGCACCACCACCTACACCTGAGGTTGGTGTGAGAGAAGAGCCCCACCACCTACACTTGAGGTTGGTGTGAGAGAAGAGCACCACCACCTACACCTGAGGTTGGTGTGAGAGAAGAGCACCACCACCTACACTTGAGGTTGGTGTGAGAGAAGAGCACCACCACCTACACTTGAGGTTGATGTGAGAAGAGAGCACCACCACCTCCTATTTCCACCAGCCCAGCTATGCCAAGCTTGTGGCAGTGCAGTCAGGTCATCATCTTACTGTTATGGATAGTTGTACAGTGAGTGAATGTGTCAAGGTTGACCAACTATAAATACAAATTTCTACTAATTTTCTACATTGCCCCTGTGTTGATTTCAGTGATTAACTGACTAATTAAGCATACCTCCTGTCCACCCACAACAGGTGAGGAGCAGAACAATCACAGTGACCCACATGAATTAAGACATTTATTTGCGCGGGAAGTACTCTAGACTCTTGTTCCTGGTATATGAGTAGTAACAATACACGACGCATCTTGAGTCTGAGCTACATGGTTATTTGATTGATTTACTATTGTCTCAGTGATTTGTGTGATTAATCATTGTGATAATGATACCAGTGGTATGTTTTGTGTGTACGTGTGCCAGTAGTAGTGTTATTGTGCATTTCAGGGTACTGTTGTGTGCTGCCCAGGTGCCCGGTGCAGAATTCCAATGTAAATTGATACTGCACATATCAATACGAGATTATTGTCTATGTTCTCTATTATTCAGTTAGTTCACCACTGACCAGTGCGAGATAGAAGATATGTGTGAACCTTTGTTCAAAAATAATCATTCGGGTACAAAAACCATTGATCTGTCCAACAGGTTAAACTTGTTACAACACAGCAACGAGAGGACGGAGATCGACGGTCTCAACAGTGTGAGGTACTCGGTGAACAAGACCACACGCTACCCGCTCTACACACACATCTTGGCTGACATCAGCGCCAACTACAACCTCACCAACCTCCCCGGCGCCGCCAACAGCACGCAGCGAAGCCCTCCATCCACAACCACAACATGA